AAAATCTAATTTGTCTGAAAGGCAATTGATACCCCAGCTTTCTTTGAGGTCTATTGGCATGCAAGATGGATCTCCATCCCTTCACTTTCAGTCTGGATGTATCTTTAGGTTCAAAATGAGTCTCTTGTAGACAGCATATGGATGGGTCCTGTCTGTTTATCCAATCTGCAACCCTTTGCCATTTTATGGGAGCATTTAGGCTGTTCACGTTGAGAGTGATTATTAAAAGATATGAATTTATTGTCATCATGTTGCTTGTGAAGTCCTTGTTTCTATAGATTGTCTCTAAATTTCTGTTGTATATCACTCTTGGGGTCTTTCTCCTTTATAGAACCCCCCTTAATATTTCTTGCAGGCCCAGCTTAGTGGTCACATATTCTTTCAGTTTCTGCCAGTCGTGGAAGCTCTGCATCTCTTCATCCATTCTAAATGACAGCCTTGCTGGATAAAGTATTCTTGGCTGCATGTTCTTCTCATTTAGTAACCTGAATATGTCTTGCCAGCCCTTTCTGGCTTGCCAGGTCCCTGTGGATGGGTCTGACATTATTCTGATGTTTCTCCCTCTGTACATATGGAATCTCTTCCCCCTAACTGCCCTTAAGATGTTTTCCTTGGTTCTAAGATTTGCGAGTTTTACTATTACATGCTGGGGCATTGGTCTATTCTCCTTGATCTAGGGAGGGGTCCTCTCTGCCTCTAGGACATGAATCTTTGTTTCATTCCCCACATTAGGGAAGTTCTCAGCTATGATTTGCTCAAATATATCTTCTAGTCCTCTCTCTCTCTCCACCACCTCAGGGATCCCAATAATTTTTACATTGGGACGTTTTATGGCATCACTTATTTCTCTAATTCTGTTTTCATGGATTCTAAGCTGTTTCTCCCAGGCCTCCTCGTTTTCCTCTTTTCTATCAGTTTGTCTTCTAGATCACTAATTCATTCTTCTGCCTCATTTACCCTAGCTGAGTATCTAGATTAGATTGGATCTCATTGATAGCATTTTTAAGTTCTGCCAGTTCAACTTTCTTTTTTTTCTTTTTTTTTTTCAAGGTTTTTTTTTTTTTTTTTTTTATTTGACAGAGAGAAAGACAGCGAGAGAGGGAACACAAGCAGGGGGAGTGGGAGAGGGAGAAGCAGGCTTCCCGCAGAGCGGGGAGCCCGATGCGGGGCTCGATCCCAGGACTGTGGGATCATGACCTGAGCTGAAGGCAGACGCCCAACAACTGAGCCACCCAGGCGCCCCTGCCAGTTCAACTTTCATTTCTGTCCTTAGAGACTCTAGGCCACCATTAATCGATTTCTCCATTCTAGCCATCATCTTCATAACTGTTACCCTGAAGTCTATTTCTGACACCATGCTTATATCTGTATCCATTTGTAAATCTGTGGCAGAAGTCACAGTCTCTGAGTCTTTCCTATTTTGGGGGTTCCTCCTCCTAGTCATTCTGTTGAGAGGTGGTTGAGGGAATGTACAGAGTCCAAATTATTGACCATATCCCAAGCAAGATGCACCTGTTTATAGGGACCTTAGGGTTGTTGGCCTCTTGTTCTCCCAGCCTGTCTTCTGGGGGAGGATCCTGCTGCACTGTTATTCAGGCAACCCTGTTTGGGCAGAGTTGCCCTGCCCCCTGTGGCAGGGGATGGGCTCAGTGAAAACCGGTTTTGGGGGGCTTTTTTTTTCCTCTGGAGGCTTTCTTTGGTGGCTTTCTGTGTGTCTCTTTTGAGAGTCAGATCAGAAGAGAACATTTCCCACCCTCTGCCTCAGAACAGAGAGATTGCAGTCTGTTCTTCAGTGAGCTCTCCAGGCCACAATGTCTCTGTTTCTGTGCTGCTAAAACTGTAGCATCTTGGGTTGTGGGCCCCGCAGCAGCACTCCCAGCTCTTGCTTCTAGGTCCATGCACTTCTCTGCCCTTTGTGCTTCTAAAACTGCCAGCTGCCCCCAGTTTGCACACACGACCCTGTAGCTCCAGGTTTCAGTCCAGGGCAGGGGGGGCTGCCCTAAAGTCCTTTCCGTGCTGCTACTGGTCTGCAAGTCTGTGCCCAGTCCACAGAGTGGGAGGTTTTCACACTCTGGCAGGGCAGGATCCTGGAGGCTCCCAACCCCTTCCGTTTATCTTCCCATATCTGCCCACGGAATCATGGCTCCCTGCTTCATACCTTGAAGCCAACAGCTGGCTATATTCTGTTTATAGAGATCCAGATATATCTTCTTACATCTCAGGCTGATTTCGTGGGTGTTGAGAGTGGTCTGGTAGATATCCAGTTCAATTCAGGGGATGGTTGGAATAGGATCCCCTACTCCTCTGCCATCTTAGCCCCCAGTCTAACAGATTTTTTAGACCTTATAGCCTTGCTCAGCCAAAAAGTTTAGGGTCAAAATCATATTTTAGTCTGAGGTTTTCTAGTCTTGCTAGCAACCAAACCATCTACATGGGTAAAGAGGGTTCCTCCCTGAAAGTCCTTGGCTAAGATTTCCACCAAAATACTTTGGATCAGGGGGAGAGTTTTTAAAACCTTGGGGAAGGGTATCCAGCAATAGTGCTGCTTACTCTTAGTCTTGAGGTCTTTCCATTCAAATGCAAACAGTTCTCCAGAGTCTGAGAGGGCTACAAAAGAATGCATCTTTTAAATACTGTACAGTGAAACTTTGAATGTCCCCAAAGTTGTTAATAGTATATGGATTGTGTACCAGCAGGCAGATATCATCTACAATTTGGTTAACAGTTTTTAAATCTTGCACAAACCCAAGTTTTTGTACAGGTAAAATGAATGTATTGTATGGTGATTAACAAAGGCCGGTGAGGTCATATTCCAAGAATGCAGAAAGAATGAGCTGAATAGTCCTTTTAGCTTATTCCTTTAAGGGCTTGTATCTGAGGTTTGGAATCTTAACTCCATCGTGAAGTTTAACATGTATGATAATTGCTTGTCCTGGCTTCTCATCTATCCAAACAACCTACCTTTATTTATTTATTTTAATAATTTTTAAAAAAGATTTTATTTATTTGAGAGAGAATACAATTGAGGGAAGGAGCAGAGCCCCCCATCTTATCTTTTAGATGACATCTTCAGGCAACTCTAATAGGACTTTCAGCATTCAATTTAGTTTATAAGTCATGACCCAGTGAAGGGATAGGGCATTCAGGCATATAAAGAAAAATGTGTTTAAGGTGAATTTGACCTATGTGGCAATCTAGTGGTCGGAGGAAGCTTTTAGTCAATACTTCCCAGAAAATTCCCATTACAGTGATAGTTTGATTTGAAAGCCAAGAGAGCCAGGTATTTAGTACTGAATAGGTGACCCCAGTATCAATCAAAAAATCTGAGCTTATTTGCCCTTGTAACCTGGGGTTCCTTGTGGGAAATGACGGCAGGCTCTGTAAGATATACAGGAACCACTGGGCCCCTTCATTCCTGGTCACTATCAACCAATTCTAGCACCTGGTGGGGGGGGGTGCAGCTTAGGGCTCTGTCTCCTCAAGAGACCTCTATGAGCTTGGGCATTTTCTTTTTCAATGGGCCTCTTCTTTATAATAGACACATTGACAAGATCCCAAACTTCTTACCTGGGTTGACCTCATCCTTGTAGTGGTTCTTGTCCTGGTCTTGAATTCCCTTGAGTTAGGGCAGCAGCTAACAAAGTAGCCAGCTGTTTCATTTTTTATTTTATTTTATTTATTTATTTGAGAGAGAGAATGAGAGAGAGCACATGAGAGGGGTTAGGGTCAGAGGGAGAAGCAGACTCTCTGCCGAGCAGGGAGCCTGATGCAGGACTCGATCCAGGGACTCCAGGATCATGACCTGAGCCGAAGGCAGTCGCTCAACCAACTGAGCCACCCAGGTGCCCCAGCTGTTTCATTTTCCAGTGACCTTTTCTTTCTTGCATTTGGTTTGTGCTGTTCAAAATCATAAAAGCAAATTTAGCCAACTGTAACCTAGATATCCCCAATGCATCCTCTAGCTTTTGGAGTCTCTCTTGAATATACATGGCACTTTGCCTGATAAACATCATATTGACCATTTTCAACTTTTCTGGAGTATCCAAACCAGTATCCAATCTATCTCAATGTTTGGTTGTTTGTTTTTTTCAAGAATTTCCAAAGGGTTCTCAGTTTTTGCTTAACTTCTTTTAAATTTTTTAACTTCTTTTAAACTTTTTGCTTAGGGCCCCCTTTTTAGAAATCCAACTAAAATATAATCTCAATAGTGTTTGAGCTTACCTTGGCATCCATGGTAGGAAGAATCATCATAGCATCAGCATTTAGGAGGTTACTGGGGGTTTCAATTAGCTTCTTCCCTAGCCTTTTTAGGACCATGTAGTGTTTGGTTAATAAATTTTGTACATCTGTCCAAGTGGGGTTATGGGTGGCAAAATAGATGAGAACAAATTTTTCACCCTCTTGAGGCAATCTCTATAAATGGTCATAGTGTTTATTCAAGTAAACAGATACAAGGTAGAGAATGGAGAATGGATCCAAATCTTTCCTGCATCTAAGCTCCAATTGCCTTAGCAGAGATTGGCCTCCTTGGCGATGAGTGGCTCCCTGACCAAATTGAGTACCACGTAGGCAATGAGAAGGGAAGACCATTCCTACTTCTTGGCCCCCCAAGGTAAGAGGTCCTGGTTCAGGGTCCTGCTGGGGCTGAAGTTGTTGGGACTAGTGCTGTGAGGGAGTTTAATTCTGTAACTAATAAAATATCCTATTTTCCCTGGTTAGAATTGGGTAGCACATGCTTTATAATTGGAGTAAAATTTTACATTTTCTCTGAGCTGGCTTATTCTGATATTTTGAAAGCATAGAAGATGGAACATAAGGTATTGCATCCTATTTTTTCCCCTTTACAAAACAAATCTAATTGTAATGTGGTATTCTAATTTATGGATGTGTTGACTATTTTTCTCTAGGGTCTAACAAATATTGTGGCCAAGCATTATTGCAAAAAAAGATATATTTTTTCTTTTTATAGGTTTATAACTAAACATTGCTCAATTTTGTAGAATACAGTCAAAAGAGCTGCATTTGGGGACTGAATTGCCATTTCCCCTTCTCCAATCAGAACATGGCTGATTTTATCTGAAGATACCAAAAGCTATAGCAACAAACAAACCAAGCCCAAATTTCCTCTGTGAGTATTAGTTCCTCCCTAATTTCTAGTTCATCCCTAAAAGCCAGAGCTTTACCAACTGAACCAAAGGGCTTCCTAGCCAACCTTTCTTTTAAAGGCTAAGAACCCCTCCCCCCCAGCTAGAGGCTGGATGGAAGGAAGAAATCAGCCCAGTCAAATAGGAGTAAGAAAGAAGCTCATGTGCCATCACACACAAAGTACTCACCGAGAGATGTCCATCCAAACTGAAACCAAAAACCATTTCCCTGCCACAAGAGTTAAATTAAAATGCTAAAGGTCAGTGGTGGGGTAGGGCCCTGGGGGCTGTCCCTGGGACAAAGAGTGAAGTCTGCTGCATGGACTCCTCATCAGATACCCATTACTGGCTGGGGGCCAATGAACCATGGGCAGTTGTTCACCAAATTTTTAACCAAACTGAAGTTTGTCTTTTGCAAATGCAGTCACTAAAACATCAAGGATGCAGCAAGGAAAGGGTTTATTTGAGATGCAGCCAAACAATGAGGCAGGAAGGCAAGCCTCAAATCCACTTCCTAGAAAGGGGAGAGTCAAGGATACTTAAAGGTAAAAGAAAAAGGATCTGAATATAGGGGAAAAGAGCTATGTGTCTTTAAAATCAGATAAAGTTAGAAAGTAAGGGGAAGGTTGAAGTCATTTTGTCTGCACCTGTGAGGATCTGCTTACATTTTCATGTGGTCCGTGACCAGAGAATGGCATCCTTAGCATGATCCAAGGGTGGATGTTTAGGCCCTTCTATGTCAAAAGTTTACCCATCAGACACTCATGCATGCTCAAAGAGAAGGTTGGTGGTCCTCACTGGTTCTGGCCAGTTTTTTTATGAAGGCTTGAGTCTCTGCAAAACAACTAAATCAACATTTTGTTATCATGGTGCCAGGCAAGAGTGTTTCTGAGAGAAACATGGTGGCAGACAGCCTTCTGAGAACAAGCAGATTTGGGTAAAAAGTTAAAGTTGCTCTTATTAGCCCCATTAAACCATTGGTTACTGGTTTCATATCTGGGATATTATTTTTGAATAGTAACTTAAAGAAATATTACCTATAGATAGATAGTCAAATAAACTGTGCATCATGAAAACCACTAGTGTAAACCTTTAAAAAAAGAAAAAAAACTACCTGAGTCTGAGTAACACTGCCAGAAAGTAGGAACTGATGGAATTGTGGGGCTTTTAACTTTCTTAGGCCAAGTTTATTTGAAATCCCTATCCATATTTTAATTTCTTTATTGAGGGGAAGTAGACAACCCACGCTTGATCCTTTTAATGAAGAATAACCTTAAATGCCATTGACGTGGTTTTGATAAAACAATCACACAATATAGAGCTGCTCAGTTTTTGTGTAGCAATGAATACAAAGTACCTACATTCCAAGGTCTAAAATACATTTGTTCCTTTTTAATTTTGCCTTTATTAAAAAAGATCCTTATGCAAAAAAGAACAATATTAAAACTGCATAGATTAAACATTTTTAAATGATCTCATGATCATATGAAGGTTGGTAACATTTAAGTAAAAGAGAAAACTCAATTATCAATGTCCTCTTCCAGCAGCATCTGAATAAATATTAAGCTCAATTTGAATCCAAACACGGTTTCCTAGTAACTGTACAGATTTTTAAGCTTCATTGTGTTACCCTTTCTGGAACTTCTGGTTTTGCTTTATTGATCTTGCTGTTCATGCCCTGTAAAGCTCATAAACATTGCTCAGACCAAACCTACTCATTGATGATCTCCAAATGACTTGGGTTTTATTTTGTAATACTAAAATCCGTTTCATGCACCAGCTGCTGCCTCCCACACACACACAGACTATCTCTATTAAGGAGTTTTCCTTTCTATAAGTCATTTAGTTCCATGTGTTATTTCTCACATCCTATGATAACCTGGATTTCATGACCTATACTTAAAGCCAAGAGAGTAAACTAAGTTTGTGTTAAGGGCCTCGTTAGCACTATAAGAGATAGTGGGTAAAAGGTGAAGTACAGGAAATAAACTACTCCCACTTCTGCTACTTGTCAAGTCTGGTTAGACTGCCTGGAGGACCTCTGTCTTAGGGAGGTAACAGAGGGATGGCTCTAGGGGAGTGTAGATTGGGGGAGAACATTTGAAATGTTACTCTTATTCTGTCTTTGGAGATGCCTCTACGGTCAGGATAATTACTTGTAATTTGCAACTGCAGCACATGAGGATAAAGGAGATCCAAGGAACCTTTTTTAACCTCTCTGTGGTTCCTTTTATCCATTTATACTCAAAACTAATCTCTCATCTGAGGACATATCTAATTTTTATTTCACTGCATTCTGGAGACCTCTGACAGACACTGGTGATCTCTTATCATGTTCACTATATTCACTGGTAATACCATCAGCTTTCAACAGAGCTAAGATTACTTAGTTCTAAAAGAACCAGTTTATTAAATCCTCAAATCTCTCAATAGCTCTCAGTCTGTCCTAAATATAACTTTTTAATTAAATAATTTTAGAAATCAGATTTCTAATCAGAAGAATCAGTGGCAAGCAATTGAGTCTCTCCAATTTGAAATTGGGAATACTGTTTTGTGTTTTGTGTTTTGTTTTGTTTTTTTAGGTGACCAGTAAGAAATTTTAAGTTAACCTTTATATTCTCTATGGCAACATTCTTTGAAGTATAGCCCTTGAACCCTTGTATCATCCAATGTGATCTCTAAATATCAAACTTCCTGGGTTGTATTCCAGAGTCCTAGAATGAGAATCTCAGAAGCAGGGTGAAGAAATCTACATTATAAACTGCATTTAAACTGCATTTTTCTTTCATGATTATTTAACTGATTGGCATTGGCAAAGCAGTTATCTGAAGCTAATAAAAAGTCATACTTTAGCTCCTTTTCTTCTAAAGGTAAGATGACACTGACTATTAAATCATTTTTAGGATTTGCCAGTGCTCTCAATTCTGTCATTCCTTTGCTGGTATAATTTTAACAGGACACCTCTGGTACCTCAGAAGGAGCTTGGGAATTGAACCTAGTCTTGCAAGTGCTGACTCTGTCACTTACTAGCTCAGTAAGTACACAAGCTAGATGCTAAAACCTTTCAAATGTATTAGCTGCCTTATCTGAAAATGAGGTTATTAATAGTGTCTTTCATTTAAAGTAATTGTTTCATGGCATTTTCAAGGCTGGGACTTCTTGGAGGTGTTCTATATACTATAGTGATGGGAATATATAAGCAAAACAAATGTTCACTCCAACTTTTCTTTGAAATACTTAGTTTTTCTCTAAAGTGAAAGCAAGAAACATTAAAACTATGAATACTGTGGTGAAGCTTTTTAATAAAGGTACTCTCTTTCACAATGAAGTCTAACTTGCAGAGTCAGTTCTGTAAAATATTTCTGAATGTCTTTATTGTGTCTCCAGTTGTTGAGGATATAGTATGTAATGATTTTGCTAATGGGTGACAATATGGCTAACATATGGTGAAATTTAAATTTGTGGATGAAAAAATTGTGTGCAAATCTGTAGGGTTACCTGGAGCTATATATAAACCTTTTAAGGATATAAATATGTAAACACAGTACTACTTGTGAATATGTCAGGGTGTGGGGATTTCAAGAAAGGAATAGCACTAAAAGACTGAAATATAACATTTATAAAACATTTGAGTTTATGCATTAATGAAGATAATAATGAATTCATGTGATTCTTAACTGAGAATCAAAAACTATGTTTAGAGAGTTGAGAATACTGCTTTGATTACTTGCTTTCAGTCATCTTTCTCTGTGGGCATTAATAATGCATATTTCACCCTGAAGCTGGCTTTAGTAGATGCTTAATGAACATCATGCAATTAAAAAAGTTAGAGCTTTCAGTGTCTAATGTAAGGACCCTGGTGGTGACTGGCCAAGAAGACATGTCTTCCCTCACTTTCTTTTTCTTAAATACCTAACAGTATGTTTGGTTTTTGAAGTTTAGTGTCATTCTAGGTAGCAAATAATGCCAACATAGTTCAAAGAGTTTTGAAAGATCTATCATATTTGCATTTGTGTCAGTGTTACTCCATTCATATTTCTTTGAGGTATAGCTAAAGGGCCAGCCTACCATAGTCAAGGGAAGATGTAGGACATTTTGTCACTCACCTCCTGATAAGAGAATTAGCTGTCCATCTGTATCTCAGGAAAAGCTTTTCCAGGCTGCAGCATAGGGGACCCACAAGAGAATCTGTGGCATGTTGCAAATGATGGATTACTACAAAGTTAGAAAATACTTTTCTTTAAAAATAACACTGCACAGTTTCAAGGTTTCACTATTACAACTATATTCTCAAACACTTGCTTTATGATAGGCTTTCTTAAGCAGAAAAGGGAAAATCTTACCTCACAGGTATCAACCTTATCTTGTGCATAGATCTGAACTGAACACGTGAACATTATGTGGTATACGTCTTGTGGCATGAAGAAAAATGGTTGCAAACCACTTGCCTGTAAATCATATTTTTGCTTTCTACTAATGCAAAAGGGAAGAGAAATAGAATAGTGTCTATGATCCTTTCCTGAGAAATGTATTGTTGACCTGAAACAAAAATCAAGAAATTTTGTGTTTTCTTGAGACTGTTTAGATAAACCCTTTGAGTATGCTGTTTCCTTCTGGGACTTGTCTTGATAGACTCATTCTACAGAGTTCTAAAGTTAAAAAAAAAAAAAAAAGGTGAAGCAGGGTGCCTGGGAGGCTCAGTTGGTTAAGTGTCTGCCTTCGTCTCAGGTCATGATCCCAGGGATGGAGTCCCACATTGGGCTCCCTGCTAAGTGGGGAATCTGCTTCTCCCTCTGCCCCTTCCATCCTTCATGTGTGCTCGCTCTTTCACAAAAATAAATCTTAAAAAAAATGATGACACACACAGACTAGCAATAGAGGCAAACTATTACCATTTCTAGGCCTGTTGGAAGGAAAGAAAGAAGCTGTCCAAGAACCTTTAAAAAATGTTGAGCCCTGAAAGAAAATCCTCCCATAGGATATATAAACACTGAATGTATCCACCAAAACTATAGACAAAGAGTAGAAGAAATAAATCCCCTCCTGTTGTCTAGTTCCTAACAGTGCTTCCTATTGGCCAACTCAGCTAGAAGCCAGAGAGTGAGGAAGTAATCCAGGGCACAAAGCTAGCAAGGAAGTGCAGACAGAGGGTGAGTCTGAGAGGAAAAAGGAGTGTAAACAACAAAAGCAGTACTTTGTTAGATGTGAAGGAAAAATAAAATGAGAAAAATTTGATTCTTTCTCTTTCTGCCAGGTGACTTTGCCAACTACCAATTTCTATATACTCAGGAAAGAAGTGAGCAGAAACATGATGCTGAGAAAATCTGGAGCTAACATATTATCTATTTCAAACAGATCTGGGACATACTTTTGATAATGATGACTCTTAACTTTAATCAAGGGAGCCCAGACTAAGTCAGCTATGTGTTATTTCTGCATTAAAACCCAGATGGGAGTGATGCTTTCCTTTGATGGTGGGTCTGCCTTTGTTGGTGCCATGGAAGATAGAGAAAGCATCAAATGATACATTACTTTATCTGCTGCTGGCAAGTGTGATACTCTATTTCAGTGTGTGTTATGACTTCTGTTCCTAGAAACAAAGGAAGAAAAATTAAGCTGTTAAAAAACCTTTTGAATATTCATAACAATATGCCCATGCATGATTATTTAGAACAGGAAGTCACTACCAGATAAATAAGTTAAAAATGAATCATTTTTCTTCCTTTAGCCATATTCAGTCAGTTTTGAGGCAACTACTTACAGTTAATCTTCATTATTGCTAAATTACTTTTGCTTTGGTATCTCTACTAGTAAAGGTGCATAGACCATGGGGAGCTGTCCACACCAAAATTAGTTCTTGAACAAATAAAGTGGCTTACTTGTTATATATTAATCATGGAGTAATGGGGAATGGAAATACACTTGGCTCCAAAAGTGCTTGAGTTTTTCTTAATCAGAAATGTGCTTAGGAACACTATTGAAGCAAAGATAGATTAATGACAGATTTCCTAAACACAAGGAAAGAAAGATATTATTAAAAGGTTTCTTAAATTTTAATGGTTTATAGTATGAAGACTTGGACAACAAAAGTTACAGATATAATTTTCTTGATTCAGATTACTGGTAACATATATCACTGGTTTATCTGACCAATAAAATTTAATACAGCTTGTATGTGGAAAATTTAATTATGTATTTAATATAGATGCAAGTAGAAATACCCATGCATGAGCAAAGACAATGAAGTGGAGATTTGGTGGTAATAATTTACCAACTGAAACTATAAATGCTGTGCATGCATCAATCTATCTAAAATAATCACTATGCTAGTGTTTTAAAGTTCATTTTTTAAAAAAATTACTCATAAAATTTCTCCCCAAATATTGTAGTTAAATTGCAAATATATATTATTATCAAAGTATTTGTGTATCTCACTACTCCTCACTAGCTTGTGCCCCTTGACTGCAATAATAAATCCCCAGAATACATATTTTGAATCCATAACATCAGAATGAATATATAAATGCTTTGAACACAAAAGTTGGTCAAAGTTCAGTGAGTTTAGGAATAGGATACACCAAGTTTTGATTCAAAACAAAACAACAGAACATACAGGCATATCTCATTTTACTGTGCTTCACTTTATTACACTTCACAGATCTGTCCCCCCCACCCCACAAATTGAAAATGTGTGGCAACCCTTTTCTGAGCAAGTCTATCAGCACCATTTTTCCACCAGCACCAACCACCTGTTCATCCATCCTCCATCTCCTCAGGCCTCCCTATTCCCTGAGACACAATATTGAAATTAGACAGTTAACAATCCTGCAGTGGCCTCTAAGTGTTCAAGTCAAAGGAAGAGTCACACATCTCTCACTTTGAATCAAAAGGGAAAAATGATTAAGCTTAGGGATCTGGGCAAAATCAATTGAAAACATTCTGGAATGGATTCACCATTCTAGATGCCATTAAGAACATTCATGATTCATGGGAAAAGGTCAAAACTCAACATTACCAGGAGTTTGGAAGAAGTTGATTCCAAACCTCATGGATGATTTTATGGGGGTTCAAGATTTCAGTAGAGGACATAACTTCGGATGGGGTGGAAACAGCAAGGGAATTAGAAGTGGAGCCTGAAGATGGGACTTAATATTGCAATCTCATGATAAAACTTAAATTAAAAAGAAAAGCAGCTCCTCATCTGTTAAAGATTTATTTGGGAGAGAGAGTGAGGAGGAGGAAGAGGAAAGGGAGACAAGCAGACTCCCCACTGAGCAGGGAGCCTGTCACAGGGCTTGGTCCCTGGACTCTGACATCATGGAATCAGATGTTCAACTGAGCCACACAGGCTCCCTGAGGAGCTACTGCTTATGGATGAGAAAATAAAGTGGTTTCTTGAGATGGAAACTACTCCTGATGAAGATGCTATACAGATTGTTGAGATCACAACAAAGGTTTAGAATATACATAAACTTAGTGATAAAGCAGCATCAGCATTTGAGAGGATTGACTAAATTTCAAAGATCTATTGGTAAAATGTTACCAAACAGCATTGCATTCATGAAAGGAAGAGTTCCCACAGTAGCCATCCACATTGAGGAAAGACCCTCCACCAGCAAAAAGTTCCAACTCACTGAAATCTCTAATGGTTAGCATTTTTAGCAATAGGTATTTTTTTCTTTTTTTTAAGATTTTATTTATTTATTTGACAGAGACAGCGAGAGAGGGAATACAAGCAGGGGAGTAGTGGGAGAGGGAGAAGCAGGCTTCCCGTGGAGCAGGGAGCCTGATATGGGGCTCGATCCCAGGACCCTGGAACCATGACCTGAGCCAAAGGCAGATGCCCAACGACTGAGCCACCCAGGCGCCCCTGTAATAGGTATTTTTAAATTAAGGTATATACATCGGGTTTTTAGATAGTCTTTTAAGTATGCAATCATATGCTAAAATGTAGTGCAAATGTAACCTTTAAATACACTATGTAACAAACAAAAATTTCATTTGACTTGCTTTATTGCAATATTCACTTAATTGTAGTAGTCTGGAACCAAACCTGCAATGTCTCTGAAGTATGCCTGTACATTATTTTCTTATAGAGAACTCACTAGTACCGGTGGCATTGATAGAAATATATTAGGTTCCAAATAATAACACAACTTTAGATCATTGCAGTTTAACAGGGAGGATCATTTACTTACTTAGGTCTGTCTGTAATCTCAACAATCAAGATATGTTCTCGTGTTCCTATTGCACTATGCTTATCAAGATGCCATGTTGCCTTACATCCACGAGAGAGCTGAAAAAGAAAAGAAGGGCTATAACCCCCATTTATAACAGATAAAAGTGTAGTTGCTTTGGTTTATTTGTTGAGATTCCATGAATGTTTTATTTGATAAAATATCCTGTAAAAATATTTTGAAAACACTAGGCAAAAAGCTCTCTTAGATCTTTTCCATCAACAAAATGCTCAATAGGCTATGCTTTAATATATAAATAACAAAACTGTTATCTCTCTCCCAAATGTAAAGCCTATCCCATCCTAGTTTTGATGTGAAATCATCCCAGGAATCAGTAGAATTGCTGCGTAAGTCATTTGGACATGAGTTAACTTATTTTTAGAAATTTATTGTTTTAAGTGTCAATGGATCCTGAGGGAAATTTTCCAATTGCCATATAACTTAAGATTCATTTCTATACCATAGGAGAGGAAAAAAAAAATATGGGAATGGAGTAGATTCCATAGACGATAGATTAAAGTGGTTAAGATGTCCCAGATATCATATATATATATATTATATAATGTATGTGCCAAGAATGGATAAGAGTAGAACCCATAAAATTAGCAAAAGAGCTCAAAGAAGACAAAATAACCTAGGGGTTTCCCTAGGGGGAACCTCTGTTTGGGGCAAATAAAGACCTACTTTATGAAAAGAGGTAGAAAATTAAGTCAAAATGAATGCCTTTCAGTTTTGAAATATTACAGAAGTTTCTCCATAAGCTTATGATACACCTATAAGAGACAACAAAAGGAAGTTGATGTTTTTGACATTACCCTAAAAATGTCAGTTTATAATACATGTTGTTAGTTACTGACCTCTTCTAGTAAAAATCCCTTAGTGTTACTGTCCCCCACTCCAAACCCCACACTGGTAAGAGACCACAAGACAGACCCAAAGAAATGTTTTCAAAATTCTAGTGAATTCATATATATTTAAAGTGCTCATTAGGTACAATTCTCTATGCTGAGCAGAGAAAAGCAAAAAAAAAAAAAAAAAATATATATATATATAAGGTATAGTGCCTATATCTTTATGAATCCTTAAAATTAGGGAACTAAAATATAGAAATAGAAAGGCATTTTAAGCTATTGGCATACAACCTGAAATAGTGGAAACACTCCTATTTAATTCTCAGCATATAACAGTATTATCCCTGTTTTGCAGATTGTTTGGATTTGGAGAGTATCTTGCTCAGTGTTATTCTTTCAACACTGACACTGCTTATTTGTTGTGTATCTCATTTTCTTCACTTATTGGGATGTTCATGTTCTAAATCATTGCACTGTAATACATTTTAAATAATGAAGTTATGTTAGACCTTCCTGTTTCATTAAGCCTTTTTTTTTTTCTTCAGCCAATGACACAGTCTCTTCTTAACAAAGGAAATCGAGAGTTTGCATTAAAAACCATGGGATCTGCAATCTTTCCTTCCTGTATACAAGAAGGATGGACATAAAGATTAGTACAGATGCAAATAAAAGTCCTGCCAAATAATCCTATCACTGCTGTCCTTGAGGTCAGTGATTTTGACTTTCTGGGTATCTGTTTATGTCTCTTCCTCCTCCCCGATGCCTTCACTTTTCCCTCTATTACCCTAGCATTAAACTGTGAACACTTGCTCTCTCAAAGCCTAAAGAAACATAACTTTCTTTTTTCATTTTGGTCAACAATTTTTCCTTCATGACCACATTCAATAAAGAAGCACTAAACTTTTTAATTTTTTTTATAATGTTTCCTAGAAAATCTCAGATCATGGGCTTGTTGCATCTATCTATTAGGAATGGCCTTCTGAGGATACAAATGGCCTTTAAGCTGCTCAATTTAATGGAATAATCTAGGGTTCTTACTTACCTATACATTAATATGCTAGTGGATACTGTTGACAACAATGTGTTTTTTCTTGAAATTCTCTTCTTTCACTAGAAAGTGAATGTTTTCACTTTATTATCTCACTTTCTTTAAGAGTACACTGCATTCTTCTCTCTAGTTTCTTCCTTGTGTTCTCAAATAGTGGCAGTGCTCTCCTGGAGTCTTTCCTCCCCTGCCTTTTCTTTTTCTGAGTCATTCCATACATAACTCCATGATATAGCCTCTATAATAATGACTTTATATCTTTGGTTCTGACCTCTCTCTTGAGCTAAAAAATTGACCCTCCAGTGAATCCATTCTTATACTTCTTTTGAACCTGAAAATCCACAGTCCCTTACTAAACTCTGCCCAAATCTGCAATATTTCTAGTCCTGACCTCTCCTACCTGCTTGTTCCACCTTTCAGGAGATATCTCTCTGTGAATGCTCCTTGAACACATCAAACTTTAAAAATATATATATAGTTTCCATTAAAAAACTATTCCTATTTTATTCATTTTTACAAATGTCCTACCAGCTAGAAGTGATGTCACAAAATGGCAACATCTGTAGTTCCTGACTCTGATCCACCTCACAAGAAGAACAAATAACTACTATTCATGGGCAAGACACCACTGAAGGAATCCTAGAACCACACAGACCAAGAGAGACCACATCGCTCATTCCCCCAGGCTAGCAAAGTACCATGCCAAGAGGTGTCCTCTGAATGTACCATTCCCCACAGTGGAAAAAGAGAGACAGAGTACACATCCAGAACCCCAGCATGATGGGTCACTTCCTGGGAGTCCCCACTCTGGTCTTACCCCATAGGATTACAGGGGACTCCATGGAGCTTGACCACTAGAAACCTAACTGTGACAGAGAAGGGGAGAGGAACTTCCAACAACAGGCACTTGGATCTTGGAAGACCCAATTCCTACCCATAGCACCTAAGTAGTGGTCCTGGCCAGCAGTTTTGTTTATCTATAGAATCAGTGGCACAGTCTGACTAGGGAACCTGGTGGTATATAGGTCTGTATGATATGGGTTCTCACACAAAGAGATTTGCTAGCTTCAGAGCCTGTTCTGCCCAGGCAGTGGAATTACATCAGAGCTCTGCCCATTGCTGATGGAAGCTCCGAACCTCATGTGACCAGAAATCGTGCCCAGAATGCCTAAAAAGTTGTATAGGCCAAAACCACTTGGGCAGAGAGAATGACAGTCTGCAGAGCAAAGCCAGTGGCTCTGTTTGGCCAAGGAAATTGGGACAAAGGTTGCCTTGAGTCAATAACAAACAAAACCCTTACCTGCCTTGAAGCAAGTGCTTGTACTGCTGTTGGGCATGGAAACCAATTTGTAGCCCCATCCAGTGCTGAAAAATCTTTCAGCCTGCCTGACCACAGAACCTAACCAAAATACATAGGAAGCTGCACTTCCCATCCAATAGCCATATATAAAGTGGCACTTAAACACAGAGCAAACCCTTGTCTCTTTCCATTTGCACAGCAAAACCAATGGTTCTATCTAGCCAGAAAATTTAGTGCATAGTCATGCCTGTTTCAGGTCCCTTAGAGCAAATGGGTCAGTCACTGGGATGCTTCATGCTGCCGTGCCAAGGCAGAGAAGCTAATTCATAGGCTTACCTACTGCTGAATTTGGTACCCAGTCCTGACTGACTACTAAGCATGACCAAAAAATCCAGGTGAATGCAGAATCTCTCCAGTAGATTTGCTTAGGCAGGGAACCAAGCCATCAACCTTATCCAACTGCTCTCAGCCAGTGTACCCTTCCACCCCAAAGCTCGGTAGTGACCTTACCCCAAAATAAACCTGATAGCAAGCCCTACCTGCTGAGAGTTTTACAAGCAGATGCATCCAGAAACCCAAATGCACCAACTAGAGATTAACTGTCTCTGTCAAAGCAAACCTGCAAAGTCTGGAAGTGGAGACCACTTACTCAAATGCATAAATACCAATGTAAAGAATCAAAGGTCATGAAAAATTTGGTAAACATGACATGCCAAAGGAAACTAATAAAACTTGACCCTAAAGAAATGGAGAAATCTGAACTGCCAAAGATTTTAGAATAATCCTCCTCTTGAAGTTTAGTGAAGTATAAGAACACAGACAACTAAACAAAATTAGGAAACTGATACATGAACAAAATGAGAAGTTCAACAATGATAAAGACCATCAAAAAGCAAAACAAAAAAATCCTAGAGCTGGGGCGCCTGGGTGGCTCAGTTGGTTAAGCGACTGCTTTCGGCTCAGGTCATGATCCTGGAGTCCCTGGATCGAGTCCCACATCGGGCTCCCTGCTCGGCAGGGAGTCTGCTTCTCCCTCTGACCCTCCCCCCTCTCATGTGCTCTCTCTCTCTCATTCTCTCTGTCTCAAATAAATAAATAAAAAATCTTAAAAAAAAAAATCCTAGAGCTGAAAAATACAATGACTATACTGAAAAATTCAGTAGAGATCTTAAAAAGCAGAGTCAACTATGGGAAGAAAAAAAAAAGTCAACTAGAAGAGAGGACTTTTAAAATTATCCAATCAGAGGAGTAAAAAGAAATGAATAAAAGAACTCTGTAAGACTTATGGGACACAACCAAAAGAAACAGTATGCACCTTATGTAAATTCCTGAAGAGTAGGAGATTAATTATATCTTAAACAATAGTGGCTGAAAAAATTTTCAAATCTAGTGAGAAAAATGGACACCAAAATCCATGAGGACTCAAAAAACCCAAATAGGTTGAACCTGAATAGGGCTATACTGGGACACATTAAATTGTCAGAAATAAAAGAATTTTGAAATCAACAAGAAAAATGAGAGAAGTTGCCTATAAGAGAACCTCCTTAAGACTATAGGTGAATTTCTAATAGAAATGTTTCAGGCCAGGAGAGAATGAGAAGATGTATTCAAAATATTGAAAGATAAAACCATCAACCAAGAATTCTACACCTGGCAAAGCTGTCTTTCATAAATGAAGGAGCAATAAAGACTCTTTGAGAAAAATAATGCTAATTAACATTGTAAAAACATAAGGTAGTATAAAGCTCACTGATATTGGTGAATATGTAAAAATATTTAGATTCTATAATATGGTAATTTTGGTGTGTAATTTACCTACAATTCCAGTTTAAAATTTACCTTAAATACAATCATCTGTTATTAGTTACACAATATAAAACTATGTAGATTAACATCAATAACCTAAAATGTGAGGGGAAGTTATAGTTAAAATGTAAAGTTTAGGAATTCTATTGAAGTGAAATTGTTATCAGTTTAAGTAGGATGTTATAATTTTAAGATATTTTATGTAAGCTTTATGATAACTGCAATGGAAAAACCTGTAGAGGTTATACAAATAAACATAATAAAATGTCAAAGAACATTGATACCAAAAGATACACACACACACACACACACACACACGACAGTAAGGTATAAACAAGGAACAACTGATCTACAAAGCAGTGAGGGAAAAAATAGCAATAGTAAGTCCTTACCTATCAATAATTTCTTTAAACATAAATGGATTAAGTTCTCCAATCAAAAACTATGGAACAGCTAAATGGTAAAACAACAAAACAAAACATTCAAATGCTGCCTATAAGAGGTATAATTTATCCTTAGAGACACACACAGGTGAGAGGAGGGGGATGGAAAAAGATATTTCAAGAAAATGGTATCAAAAGAAAAAACAGTAGTGAAGCTATACTTATCTCAGAAAAATAGACTTTAAGATAAAAATAGTAAAACAAGACAAAGAAGCTCATTAAATAATGATGAAGGGGTCAATCCATCAAGAGCATAACAATTTTAAGTACTTATATGCCCCACATCAGAACACACAAATATATAAAGCAAAATATACAGAAGTAAAAGGAGAAATAAACAGCAATATAATAGTTGGGGATTTTAGTACCTGCTCTCAGTAATGGATAGGTAAATCATACAGAGAATCAATAAGGGAATAGAGGATTTGAAAAACACTATAGGCAAAATAGACCTAAGAGGCATATACTTAACACTCTATCAGACAACAGGAGAATACACATTCTTCTCAACTGGCCATGGGATATTTTCTTTTTTTTTTTTTTTTTTTTAAGATTTTATTCATTTGAGACAGAGAGATACAGAGAGAGCGAGAGCATGAGCAGGGGGAGAGGCAGAGGGAGAGGCTCTCCCTCTGAGCCAGGAGCCTGATATGGGCTTGATCCCAAGACCCTGGGATCATAACCTGAGCCAAAGGCAGACGCTTAACCATCTGAGCCAGCCAGGCGCTTCTGCACAGGGTATGTTTTCCAGGATACACCATATGTTAGGCAACACAACATGTCTTAGCAAATTCAAAAAGATTGGAGTATCCTCTCTGACCATAATGGCAGAAAACAAGAAATCAACAACAGGAAGAAAACTAGAATATCCACAAATGCATGGAAATGAAACAACACTCAACAGCTAGTGGACCAAAAAAAATACAGAGGAAATAAAGTTCCTTGAGAAAAGTAAAAATGGAATGGAAACCCAACATACCAAAATTTATGAGATACAGCAACAATAGTTTTAGGAAATTTTATACCAACAAATGCCCACCAAAAATAAAAAGTTATCAAATAAACAACCAAATTCTATACATTAAGTAGCAGAAGAATAAAACAGAGCCTGAAGTTATAAGAAGGAAATAATAATGAATAGAGCAGAAATAGAGAACTGGAAAACAATAGAACTGATTAACACAAGTAAGAGTTGGTTCCTTTAAAAGATAAACAAAAATTACAAATCTTTATGTAGACCAA